TCAAATAATTTCGTGCCAACTGAACAAAGCCGAAGTGTAAATTCTCATCGTGACAGTGATAAAGAGAAGACATGTTTTAGAATTTTGCCGATTCGAGTTTTTTATGATGGTGGCTCAGTGACAACGTTTGCGTTTTTGGATGAAGGTTCTTCTGTGACTCTTATGGAAAACGAATTCTTTGATAAACTTGGAATTAAGGGCAAGAAGGAACCTCTGGAATTACGTTGGACAGGCAACACAACTCGTTCTGAAGATGATTCGGTCAAAATAAATATTGAAGTGTCTGGTGTAAAAAGTGATTCTCGTTTTGTGCTGCATGATGTTAGAACAGTGAAGAACCTTGAATTGCCCAAGCAAACATTAAATTTTGAAGAAGTGGTGAAATATAATCCGCATTTAAAAGGATTGCCGGTCGATTCATACGTCAACGCCAAGCCGACGATTTTAATTGGCATTAATAATTGGCGAGTAGCAGTCCCAATGAAAATTCGTGAAGGTGGTTATAACCAGTTTATTGCAACGAAGACTCGACTTGGATGGACTCTTCAAGGTAGTGGCACGGATGTTGGTAAAATAGCTTCGCTGAATATACACACCTGTGAATGTGAACGTCGTTACCAAATCTTGCATGATGAAGTTAAAGAATATTTTTCCTTGGATGTGTCTCAACCGAAAAATATATTGTCAATCGAGAATCAAAAAGCCATGCATATTTTGGAGAATAACTGTGTAAAGAGAGATCGACGATTTGAAGTGAATCTACTTTGGAAAGATAGTGATCCTCAATTACCTGACAGCTATAATGTCGCAGTTCATCGATTAAAGTGTCTCATGAGGAAGTTTAAGAAAAATCCTGAATTAAAGCAGACTATGCAGACGGAAATCGACAAGCTTCTCTCAAAAGGATACGCAAGAAAGGTTTTCCTGGTCGCACTTGGTATCTTCCTATTTTTGTGGCTCTTAACCCAAATAAGCCTGGTAAAGTTCGTCTGGTCTGGGATGCAGCAGCCAAATCCAATAATAAGTCACTAAACGATTACTTGATAAGTGGTCCAGATTTGCTTACGTCTCTATTTAATGTGTTAATCGAATTCCGAGTTGGCCAAATTGCCGTCTGTGGTGACATTGCAGAGATGTTTCATAGGATCAACGTCAAAGATGAAGACATGCACGCTCAACGATTTTTGTGGTTCGAAGATGGTGACGTGAACAAAATCAGTGTTTATGTGATGAAAGCGTTAACCTTTGGAATTAGCTGTGCCCCATGTATTGCTCATTTTGTGCGCAACAAGAACGCGGACGACTTTCGGGAAAATTATCCCAGAGCAGTTAAGGCAGTTGAGTCGTATCACTACATGGATGATTTTATCGACAGTGTACAAAGTGAAGGAGAAGCCCTAGAGTTAGCATTGCAAGTTAAAATGATACATGCTGCCGGTGGCTTCCACATGAGGAATTGGGTGTCAAATTCAAAATTGGTACAAGAAAAATTAGGCGATGGAGAGCAGACGAAGAATACGTTTGGAGCTATTGAAAAAATTCTTGGTATGTATTGGGAATCCAATAATGATGTGTTTCAGTATAATTGCAGATTTTCACGGCTCTCGAGAAACGTATTCGAGTCGAATGTGGTCCCTACCAAGAGGGAGGTTCTCCAAGTTCTGATGTCCATATTCGATCCGCTTGGGTTCATCTCCCATTACACAATTGGATTGAAAATACTACTACAACAAATTTGGCGGTCAGCAATTAGATGGGACGATGAATTAAACGACGAACTATATAGCAAGTGGTCCTCATGGTTGTCCAATTTGGAGAAAATATCAAAAGTACAAGTTCCGAGATGTTACTCCAAGCTGTTGAAGTTCACTCAAGACGTCCAAATTCATACTTTTGTTGATGCTGGGGAAGACGGATATGCAGCAGTGTGCTACTTTCGCATACGATATCTCGAAGAGGTCAATATCGGTCTAGTAGCAGCAAAATCCAAAGTGGCTCCTCTCAAGCCAATTTCGATTCCGAGATTGGAACTTCAAGCGGCCGTAACCGGAGTGCGACTGGCAGACAAAATAGTCAAAGCAACGAGACTTCAATGCACACAAATATTTTTCTGGTCGGACTCAAAAACTGTACTGAGCTGGTTGTCCATGGATCCGAAAAATTTTAAGCCGTTCGTCATGTACAGAGTTGGAGAAATTCTAGAGTCTACAAATATTACCCAATGGAATTGGGTGCCCTCGAGATTGAATCCAGCCGATTTTGCGACAAAAAATGGGTCCTGTAATGACGATATGTGGTTCAGTGGTCCAAAATTCCTTGAAGAAGATGACAGTTTTTGGCCGAAAAATCCCGTATTGACGCAAACCAAGGAAGATGTACGTAATTGTCTACTACATATTTCGAAATCACATACGTTCACCATAAATGTTGAGTATTTTTCATGCTGGAGACGACTTTACAAAGCACTGTCGCTATTTCTACATTATATGGAGAAGTTAAAGTCCGTGGTCCGTAGCAGCAAATTACCAGAAAATATTACATTCGAATGTGTCCAGCAAGCCAAACATATTTTGTACAAATTTGCCCAAAAATGTGGTTTTCCTGACGAAATATGGTGCCTCAAGAATAAGAAGCAAATAGAAAAAACCAGCAAATTGAACCCAATGAATATATACTTAGACGAAAACGAAGTTTTACGTGTCTCAGGAAGAGCTGAGATGTTAAATTGCAACAATGCAATAATTCTACCCAATGGTCATTACGTAACGTTTTTGGTGGTTCGATTTTACCATCAAACATTTCATCATTGTATGCATGAAGCAGTGATGTCAAATATTAAGTCCGAGTTTTACATTCCCAGATTGAGAGCACTTTACAAGAATGTACGAAGCAAGTGTCAAGAGTGCAAAAATTTAGCAGCGGCACCATGTCCACCTCAAATGGCAGCGTTACCGTCAGCCCGAGTGTCCAGTTTTGAACGTCCATTTACTTACGTCGGAATCGATTTCTTTGGCCCATTATATGTCACAGTCGGCAGGCACAAAGAAAAGAGATGGGGTGTTCTGTTTACATGTTTAACGGTTCGCGCTATTCACATCGAAGTGGCTCATAGTCTTGACACCAGCTCCTGTATAATGTGCATTCAAAATTTCATTAGTCGACGTGGCTCTCCCAAAGAAATATTTACCGATAACGGCACTAATTTTAAATCTGTTGAGAGAATGCTCCAAGAAGAAAGACGAAATTTGGAGTTCAAGAAGCTATGTTCCAAATATGATGTTATCAAATGGCGGTTCAACCCTCCAGCTGCCCCGCATATGGGCGGAGCATGGGAACGTTTGATACGTTCAGTTAAATCAGTTCTGTACTCAATGTGTCCAACCTTCAAATTTAACGACGAAACCCTACGATGTGCGCTCTATGAAGTCGAATTTATCATCAATTCTCGCCCGTTAACATTTGTGGCTCTAAATACAGTGGAAGACGACGCACTTACACCAAACCATTTATTATTAGGCTCAGCAGCAGGGGATAAACCTCTATGCGAATATGACTACGATCTGCGACAACGATGGCATCAAACCCAGCAATTTGCAAATAACTTCTGGAGAAGATGGGTACGCGAATATGGTCCAATGTTGGTACGAAGAAGCAAGTGGTTCGAAAAGGTTCCACCACCCAGCGTTGGAGATGTCGTAATTATAGTCGATGATACACTACCTCGCAACAAGTGGCCCAAAGGCATTGTAACCGAGATATTTGCAGCGAAAGACGGTCAAGTTCGCAGCGTAAAAGTCAGAACCAGTTCCAGCGAATACGAGAGACCAGTAGCCAAAATAGCAGTATTAGACGTCGGTATAAAGAAGGATGACAGTAAGCTCAAGAGGTCCTAGTTCGCTTACGAAGGGGGGAATGTTACCGCCGCCACTGTTTATTTACTCTTTTTTGTTATTTATTTACTTCAACAAATTTGAGTTATTCCTCTTTTATGTAGTCAATACACTTTTGCATTGATCTCTATTTATCTTCTCGTTGCCCTTTATTTATGTGGCCCTTTGCTATGTGTACACATACATGCACAAAGTTATTAGTATGTTGTTATTGTTTAATAACGGCAATGTCTAGTGGACGAAAACAAGTAGCTTCAAAGGGCAACGAAGATATAACAATAATTAGTTCGAATTTGAATACGCAGCGAGCAAATTGTTTTTAAAGCGCCATAAACTTTTGTTATTAATAAACATTTTATGTGAATAATTATTTTCAAAGTGTTTTACTTTAAAGTGGGCGACTATGAAAGTTGTTCTGCGTACCGAACTCAACACTGGGCCGACCATACGATACCCTACAAAACTACCACGGAACTAACTATCTTTCTGTCCATTTCATCCCATAGGGATCTTCATTGGGCATAACCCATCCTACAATCAAAATTTCGTGAAGATTGGTCCATAACTGTGGCCTGTATCGTGTTTACAAATCATAATGGACAGACGGATGGACACACATGATCGACTCTGCTAGATATGACGATCGGTATACTTAAAGATGGGTCTAGGATCAATATTTCACGGCGTTACAAACTCTTGGGGCTGCACAAAGCTATAATACCCCGACAACATAGATGTGTAGGGTATAAACATGTTTTTGATGAATATAAAGAAAGCTTGGATTTAAAGATTTTTATATAGATAACCAGTAAGGAAAGTAGTAAAGTCGGGGCCGACTAAATGATACCCTTCACCACTTTGGGTATATTAAACAGAGGAATCCTAGCATACGTCGCATTTTTATAGGACCACTAAAATTAAATTGGATCCATAAACATGCCATTCTGCAACCTATACTAAATTTTTCATTTGGTCAGATATAGAGTTGCTTCTTACAGTGGGACAAAATTGTGTAACTCAATTTAAAACAAAAACCAGTAAGGAAAGTAGTAAAGTCGGACGGGGCCGACTATATGATACCCTTCACCACTATGGGTGTATTAAATAGGACTATTAACATGAAATTGGATGAAATAAAATATGTGATATTTATCTAAATGTGAATCTACCTAGATCTATCCATAAAGTATGTAAATCGACTTCATACAAATATAAATAGGTCATCCGTTGGGCTATGTCTGATCTTCTAGAAAACGCAACTACGTAATTCTATGCTCAATTTTGTAAGTTGTGCAAAATTCGATGTCTATCTGACTAACATGAGAAGCTTGATGCCCAATTTACTTGAAATCGGGCGAAAATATGTACTGAAATCGGACGAAAATATATATGGAAGCTCTATCCAAATATTAAGCGATTTCAAACAAACTTGTCACATGTTAGGTTATAGTAATTTCAGAACGTTTTGTTCCTATCAGCCTATTGTTTCCTTGGTGCGTCAATTACTTAAAATCAATCTATAATAAAAGGGAGCTATATCTAAATCTGGATCGATTTTCACGAAACAAGGCAGACAGTACTATAGGCTCACTTCAGTACGATATGCCAAATTTCGTGCAAATCGAAAGATATATAGGGACTTTGGTGCACCATTTATATGACATGGAACGAAACTATATATGGGAGCTATATCTAAATCAGGATCGATTTTCACGAAACTTGGCCGACATCATTCTAAGCTCAATTCAGTACGTTATGCCAAATTTCGTGCAAATCAAATGATATATAGGGACTTTGGTGTACCATTTACATGAAATCGAACGAAACTATATATGGGAGCTATATCTACATCTGGACCGATTTTTACGAAACAAGGCAGACATCATTCTAGGCTCAACTCAGTACGTAATGCAAAATTTCGTGCAAATCGAAGGATATATAGGGACTTTGGTGCACCATTTACATGAAATCGGACGAAACTATATACGGGAGCTATATCTAAATCCGGACCGATTTTCTCGAAACTTGGCAGAGATCATTATAGGCTCAATTCAGTACGTTATGCCAAATTTCGTACAAATCGAAAGATATGTAGGAGCTTTGGGGCACCATTTACATGAAATCGGACCAAACTATATATGGGAGCTATATCTAAATCTGGACCGATTTCCACGAAACTTGGCAGATATCATTCTAGACCTAAATGATTAGGCTGTACCAAATTTCGTGCAAATCGAAAGATATATAGGGACTTTGGGGCACCATTTACATGAAATCGGACGAAACTGTATATGGGAGCTATATCTAAATCTGAACCGATTTTCGCAAAACTTGGCAGACATCACTCTAGGCTTAATTCAGTTCGTGATGCCAAATTTCGTGCAAATCGAAGGATATGTAGGGACTTTGGTGCACCATTTACATGAAATCGGACGAAACTATATATGGGAGCTATATCTAAATCTGGACCGATTTTCACGAAACTTGGCAGACATAATTCTGGGCTCAATTCAGTACGTTATGCCAAATTTGGTGCAAATTGAAAATATATATAGGGACTTTAGTGCACCATTTACATGAAATCGGACCAAACTATATATGGGAGCTATATCTAAATCTGGCCCGATTTCCACGAAACTTGGCAGACATCATTCTAGACCTAAATGATTAGGCTGTACCAAATTTCGTGCAAATCGAAAGATATATAGGGACCTTTTGCATTAAATCGGTTAAATATATATATGGGAGCTATATCTAAATCTGAACCGATTTTTCCCAATTTCAATAGGGTTCGTCCTTGGGCCGAATAAGTGACCTATGCCAAATTTCATCCAATTCGGATCATAAATGCGACCTGTACTTTGTTTACAATTAACATGGACAGACGGACGGACGGACTGACGGACATGCATATAGATTATACTAATTTTAGTATGGTTTGTGCATATCGACCACATTTTGAGTTCTTGGTGCATCATTTACTTCAATACAAATTTCAGTACGTTGTACAACATTTTGTGCCAATTAACCCACCTGGAGAGTAAAATGGACATAAAATCGGATGAAAATATATATAGGAGCTATGTCTATATCTTAACCGATTTTCAGGTAACTTAACACACCTCGTTCTAGACCTAATTCATTACGCTGTGCCAATTTTCGAGCAAATCGAAAGATATTAAAATACTTTGGTAAAACATTTACAGTAAATGTTTTACCATATCGGATGAAAATATATATGGGAGCTATATCTAAATCTGAACCGATTTTCAGGAAACTTAACATACATCATTCTAGACGTAATTCAGTACCCCATGCAAAATTTCGTACAAATCGAAAGAAATATAGGGACTTTGGTGCACCATTTACATTAAATCAGACGAAAATACATATATTGGAGTTATGTGTAAATCTGAACCGATTTTCAGGAAACTTAACACACATCATTCTAGACCCAATTCATTGCGCTGTGCCAAATTTCGTGCAAATCGAAAGATATATAGGGACTTTGGTGCACCATTTACATAAAATCGGAAGAAAATATGTATGGGAGCTATATCTAAATCTGGACCGATTTTCACCAAATTTAGTAGACATCACTCTAGGCTCTGGGTCAAATAAGTGAACTGTGCCAAATTTCATCCAAATCGGATCGTAAATGCGACCTGTACTTTGTTCACAAAAATACATGGACGGACGGACAGACGGACATGCGTAAATCGACTCAGAAAGTGATTCTATGCATATTCTCAAAAGGAACTATGGGTCTATCTCGATTCCTTTTGCCTGTTACAAACATATGCACAAAGACATAATACCCTGTACCACAGTGTGGTGAAGGGTATAAATATATGGGAGCTATATCTAAATCTGAACCGATTTTTTCCAATTTCAATAAGTTTCGTCTATGGACCAAATAAGTGACCTATGCCAAATTTCATCCAATTCGGATCATAAATTCGACCTGTACTTTGTTTACAATTGAACATGGACAGACAGACGGGCATGCATAAATCGACTTAGAAAGTGGTTCTATGCATACTCTCAAAAGGAACCATGTGTCTATCTCGTTTCCTTTTGCCTGTTATAAACATATGCACAAAGACATTATACCCTGTACCACAGTGTGGTGAAGAGATATAGCTCCCATATATATTTTCGTCCGATTTTTAGCAAATGGTGCACCAAAGGGTCAAATTTTGTCCGATTGACACAAAATTTTGCACAACGTACTTAAGTTGGTGAAGCAAAACGTGTGCCAAGTTTTATTGAAATCGGTTCAGATTTAGATATAGCTCCCATATATATTTTCGCCCGACTTTTAGCAAAACGTACTGGCGTTGGGGTAGCCTAAAGTATTCCAAATTTTATTGAAAGCGATTCAGATTTAGATATAGGTCCCATATATATGTTCGTCCGTTTTTAGCAAATTGTGCTAAATGAACTAATGATTGTGAATGAACTTAACCCTTTCAGTGTTTTTGTGGAATATATTCGACATTTAAAATTACTCTCTTTCTTTGGGGGTTTTCGGTTATCCTATGTACCATTACAATTGATGTTTTTGTTTTTGCTGAAAGACAGACAAAACTGTCCGAGGGTTAAAATAAAAATTGCTTTTCTTTCTAAACTCTGTGCCTTTTTATGATTTTAAATACAAAATTTTAGATTTTTATTCCGACAAAAATTTGTTTTGACACTGAAAGAGTTAAACAGCGCTCGGTTCACATGTAGACACAGATCATATATGTAAAGTATTCCACGTTCATTTCAATGGTCCTTCAAAAATGCGAAGTCTATTAGGATGCATCTCTTGAAGGGTATCATATAGTCGGCCCCGTCCGACTTTACTACTTTCCATACTGGTTTTTCTTAGAAACCTTTAAAAAGCGTGGACTTTCTAAAGAATATTTTTTGAGGACTTAATAGAGGGGTGGATTTATAGATACTTTATAGAGGCGTAAATTTTTTAAAGAGACTTAATAGAGGATGGCTTTTTTTAG